GAATTCACGAAGGAAAGTGTGATGAAATAAGACAAGACAGGTGAGAGAGAGCCAAGACCATGCTAGACCCAGCTCTTACTAGCTTGTGAGACACTGATTTTTAAGTTTTCAAATGTGAGCATTAACACCTCAGAAACTGGTAAATGCAACAAATCAGGGCTTGATTTATTATTTTGTTGATTGTCTAGAATGAAGAAAGTGATGAAGAAAATGTTAATAATGCAGATTAAGTTTAAAAGTGTGTCATTTGTACTTTTTTCTAGAAAGCTGGTTGTTAAACATTTACCAGCATACCCCTGGGGGAGTCATATTATGGAGGGCTTTAAAATGTTGGTTTGGTGGGTTTTATTTTGTCCTAGAGACAATAGGGAGCCACTGAAGACTTTTGAGCAAGACACATGGATGGTCAGATCTATATTTTAGGCATATCTCCTTGGCATCTGTGAGAAGGGTAAATTGTATCATGGAGAGATTACAATCAAAGACACCAATTAGAAAGTCCAGACACATACGATTACATTAGCCCAGAATTGAGATGATGAGTATCTGAGAGAGGGTAGAGACTGTTTCACTGGGGAGAAGGGATCAGACATAAGAGTTATTGTAGACATAGAGTCAACAATAACGTTTGATGACTGATTATATGTGGAGAAGACGGGTTACCACTTAATTAACGGAGGGATGTAATATGTATTTTGGCCACTAGGTGGTGTTGCAACCACATGCAAGTAAGCATCCCTCCCACCTGCCTGCTCTCCATCCTCAAAAGCTGTAGTAGTGGCCCCAGGTTCTGTATATCTAGAGGTGTGACCTAATATGAGCTAAACAATGACCAAAATGAGAAACACACCTCATTTTTTCTCTGAGTTCCCACTTCCCCACGTTTGGAAACTTCCTTTTTGATTCACAGCCCCTCGTTTATAGAATTCAATAATTTGCTTGGTGGTCAATGTGATTTACTGGAACAATAAGATAACCCGAATAGCAGCATAGTAGCTTAAAATAGACGGTAAAGAATCACTTGAATAGCTCTCTTCAAGGAAACTGCTGCCTAGAATTGACTCTCCTTTCCCTTATACATCCTCCCAACCAATAGAAAAGCAAGCTGTAGAACTCACCAAGGTCCCTTCAGCAACCATATGAGGAAACAAGGAGGAGGGAGGAGGATGGGAGGCATTGGGAAGGTTTGGGTCAGCAAGCTCTCCAAGGCGAACAGGGAGGGCAGACTGCTGAACGTTATCTCATGTCACCCCAGGCTGGTGGGCATCTCTGAACTCTTAGCCATGAAACATCTCTAGTTAGTTCCAGCCCCACCCTGCCTACTCCCATCTCTACACTGGACCCACAGTTCTTCATGAGAGGTCTGAGTACTCACTTCACTCATCCAATTCAGCTACAGTTCTGATGCTAGCAGAGGTCTTCCTCAGCCGCATCCACTCTAGCTGGTCGGAAGGGAAAATCCCAAACGGGTGGAGATGGCCATCTCTCTTGTCTTTCCCAAGCTTGTGAAACTTATGGCAGGAAGTCTCTTAAAGTGCAAAGGAAAATGGAAACATAAGAACTCTGGGAAATGTATGTCTGCATGTTTCCTGCCTTTGCCATGGCTACCTTTCTTCCCCCTGCCCCACCAACTTCTGTGAAACATTAGAAAAGCCCCATGACAGAAATGACCCATCTCAAAGCCCATTAGTACAGGACTTTCTCCTCATTGGTGGAAATCAATGCCTTGTGCCTGCACAAGGGGCAGGGCAAAATTGGTAAGAGTGGGAGAAAGGAGAGCCCCAGGCTCTTCACATCTCTCCTCAAACTTTTTCAAGTCTTTTTAGTTTATTTGGGTCCTTCAGTCACTTCAGGCACTTCTGGCTTCCATCTTTAAGAGAAGAGAAGGAAGATGCCAACCCCACTTCAGGTTACTAAAAGACAAAAAGACTATAAGAAGAAGCCAACAGAGGAGATGGCAGTCTCCATCATGACCCTATAACCAACTTGCTATACTAGAGACTTCAGGGAACTTCCCTTGGGTAGGATCTCTCTCTCTCTTTCTCTCTCTCTCTCTCTCTCTCTCTCTCTCTCTCTCTCTCTCTCTCCCCTCCCCCACCCCAGTCCTGGTTCCTTTTCTCGCTTTGTAGAGTTCTCATGATACTCTCCTTAAATGTAACTCTGTATTGAACTCCAAGGATCAAGGCCTTCGTAGAATCTAGAAATGACCCTTCTTTCTGTCCCAAAGGGTCAAACTCCTGGATGGAACTTCCTCCTTCAGGTGCTATCTTTATGTACCTTTCTGTGTCTATATCTGTGTTTGTCCTTGATGTGTCCTCGGGATTCATTGTCTGCTATGGGTCCAGTAACTCTGATAACACGGTCAGTGGGAGAAGAGAGGAGTATAATGTTCACTCTGGGCTAATCCTCCCTCCCCCTTGCTACTGTCTGGCACAAGCTTGGGGATTTGCCTCCTTGAATCACTCCAGAACATGTAGTCTTCCTCTCCCAAATTTAATCTTCCATCACTAAATTAGCCATTTTCATTATACATGGGCGCAGAGTTATGTCTGATTCTTTCAGCCAGTAAAGATAATTCTTCCATGGTATCATTTCCCTTCATCCAATGGCTTAAAGTCTTTGTTTCTTTTTAAATGATTTGAGTTTTTCCACACATCATGATAAGGTAATAGGAAAATTAAAACCTAGTTTATTCTGTTGGATATCTTCCAGATATCCATTGAGGTGGGGGTATTGAATCTTCTTCTTTACTCTCCAACAAAGCCCCTCGCCAATTAAACATTTACTGTCCTCAGCAAATCAACTGGAGTGCTTTTGGCATTCAAAGAACCTGTGATTGTTAATTGTGTCTGGCATTCAAAGCCCTTCATAACCTACCCCACCTAACCTTTCCAATATTCTTATTTACAACCCTTACCCCCTTCCCAATATTCTCTTCAATCCAGTGACACTGGCCTCCTTGCTGTTCCTCAAATAAGACATTCCATCTCTCGACTCTAGGAACTTTCTCCAGCTGTCCTCCATGCCTGCAAATGCCCTCCCTCATCATCTCTGCAATCCTGGCATCCTGGCATCCTGGCTTCCTTCCAATTTCAGCTAATATCCTACTCCCTAAAGGAAACCTTTCCTGATCCTCCTTAATTCTAGTTCCTTCTCTCCATTGATTCTTTCAAATTTGTCTTGTTTATAGCTTGTTCGTATGCGGTTGTTCCAGGCAACGAGGTGGTGCAATGGGTAGAACACTGGGCCTAGATTCAGGAAGACCCAAGTTCAAATCTAACCTCAGATACTTCTAGCTGTATGACTGCGCAAATCACTTAACACTGTTTTCCTATCTATCAAATGAACTGGATAAGGAAATGGCAAACCACTTCAGTATCTTTGTCAGGAAAACCCCAGAAAAGGATCACAAAGAGTCAGACACGACTGAAAAATGGCTAAACAACAACACAGAGTTGTTTGAATGTTATCTTCCCCATTAGATCATGAACTCCTTGAGAGAAGAAGTTGTCTTTTACCTTTATCTGTATTCTAATGCTTAATACAGTGTCTGGCCCATGGTGGGTACTTAGTAAGTGTTTATTGACTAACTAAATTAAACACAAATGGTGCTGCATGTCAGACAAGCAAACTGAGACTCTACTTGTATAGGCACTAGAGCTCCTTTATCTCAGGAGTGGGGTGGAAAGTGGAGATAGGAATGGACCCACTAGGACGAGACATCCCAGGCATGGTGTCCACCAACCCACTGGAGCAGATTTAGGTTACAGCCCCCCACATCTCAGCTTTTCTGTGCACCTGAGATCCATACTATATCAGGCTTCAATGAATATTTTACTCTTTTAATCACAGAAGAAATCCTGTGCCCAAATTGGGTCCTGCCTATATCTTGTCTTCCAGATATCCAGCCTTATTCCCTAATCATCACTAGTCTCAGCCTATGCTTTGTTCAGCCTCACCATCCCCTCCCTGTGTCTGGCCCCAGACTATTAGCCAATCCTCACTTCAAAGGCCCACAAAAGTGTCTAAACTCAGACACTCTTTGGGTCAACTTCAGTCCTTCCCCTGTTTCATCTCAGCTGTGTACTGTCCAGTCTCACGTCCTCCTGTTTCCAACCCTGGCTCCTCTTCTGTCCAACATCAGACCAATGTGTGTTGAACCTCAGTCCATCCTTGAGTCCAACATGTGTCTGGCCTTAATCTATCCTCACTTGTATCTGGCCTCACCTGTCCTATGTCCAACAGCTCTTCCCGGGTCCAGCCTCTGCCTCTGAAATCCCCAACTTCCACTACTCCTAAGTCCAGTCTCAGTTCCTTCCACGTCCAAACCCAACCTATTCTTTGTCCAGCCTCGTATATCTAAACCTGTTCCTTCCTCTGTCCAACTTTGGTCCATCCTATGTTTGGCCTTAGCCCCTGCTCTATCTGACCTTAGAATCACCAATGTATAATCTCAGCCTATCCAGGGTCCAAACTGGGCCCATCTTGACTTCAGTATCAGCCCCTTTTCTTAATAGTCTGATCCTTTGAATGAACGACTTAGTTCTATCAGACGTTACCTCCGTGTCAGGAAAGTTCCCTATTTAACCTCCAGATGGCAGCGCAGGCCACTTTTCTCTGTTAACATTTGGGACAAAATACAATCTCCTACTTAGTCCAATGGTTGCTGGTTCTATCCAACACTAGAGGGTATTCAGGAAAAGTGTCAAGTTCTTTGTGGTGAGAGTTTGCGAACTTTGTGTAACAACATTCTCTCTTCGCTTTTTTTTTAACCAAAAAAAGTTGTGGGGCACACACACTATTGAAATAATTTATGCAAAGAAAGGCAGTGGCATGTACTTAATTCCAGCAAGATTAATAATTTATAGTGACAAACAAACCTTAAACAAGCAATAAAATAGTGTTTTATTTATTTATTTCATTGAAAAAAGTTATTTATTTATTTCATTGAAAAAAATTATTTATTGATGAAAATTCTTTACAATTTTCATATCTAGAACATAAAATATTGCCCATAATAATAATAATATTAATGTGATGAGTACGGTCTTGGTCAGCACAGAGTTTCTCAGAATGTGATGTTATTGCTGATATTACTCTTCATGACTTCTTCCAACTAATAAAGAATGTTATTTTGTCTTTGTAACAGGAACAACAGAATGTCCTATTCTCAATAAATAAGTTGTAATGAACAGTACTAAAAATTTGTGTAGCTTTTTATCCACCTGTTGTCAAAACATAAGATTCTCCATTTCAAGCATTATGCTCCCACATACTATTGCAAAAGAAGTCTATCAAGCCATTCTTATTGATGTGGAATACGACCAAAAGCATTTGTCAATGGTGGGTGAGCTCTTGAACCATTCGTGTTTAGACATACCTGTTTTCAAAATAAAATATTATTTCTGAATATTAGTAATTTATAAGCAGATTTTTACTTTCCCCTATTTCATTTTCACAGCAGGTATTTTTGAAATTTGAAATATTTTTAAAGTTTTATTTTACAAATGCATCATCCGGATTTTTAGCTTTTTTCATAAATGCAGTCACTTTATCTTCCTAATTCAGAATAGGAATTTGAGGATTTTACATTGACTTTGTTTAAAGTAGCCAGTTTTTCAAAAATAACCACTAAATATGCAAGTTTCAGTAGGATTTTTTGTTATAAAATCAATCTACTTCATCTTTATTATTATCACCCAAAAAAAAAATTCTTATTTCCTTTAGCTCAAACACCTTTTGAAGTATTCGGACAAAAGAAAACCATCGTATCTTGCAATAATGTAAGAATATCCTATGCTCTGTGTCGTTATAGTCATTGAATTTTATAAAAATGACATCTTTTTAATGTAATTTTTAAAATAAAGTTGATGATCATCCCAAAAACTTGAAAAGCATCATGTAACTCTTCGTTTTTGTGTTTTCATATAAGTAATCATATGTGAAGTATTCATGTATTCAAAATGGAGGAAGGGTCACGTTTTAATAGTTTTTTATAGTCCTGTATTTCATGACAGCAATTGAGCCCTTACAGTCCAGAATCCAAAATAATTCTCCCTTATATCATTTTAATTTTTTTTTAAAGTCAACTCAAGAAGTACTGTAAGTAATGAAAAGAAATTTGGCAGAAATTCAAAATGGATGTTTGACCTGAATTGAAAAGGTCACACCATAGAAGGAAGGAAGGAGGGAGGGAGGGAGGGAAGGAAGGAAGAAAAGACTTATTTAGCACCTTCTATATGCCAGGCACTTTACAAATATTATCTCACTTGATCCTCACAACAACCCGGTGAGGGCGGTGCTATTGTGGTCTCCCTTTTACTGATGAGGAAACAGGCTAAGTGACTTAGTCAGGATCATACAGTTTAGTTAGTATCTGAGGCAAGATTCATATTCAAGTCTTCCTGAATCCAAGCCCAGAACTCCACTCACTATGCCAGCAATTTTTGACCCTTTAATGGATCCATAATGGCTCCCTTCATTAGTGTAAACCATAACGAAAACCCTCTATGCCTTTCCTTCCTGTGTTATTCCCACCTGTGCTCTTCTGCAGATCCTCAGAAAGACCTGAATTCAAATCCAGCCTTAGACACTTACTAGCAGTGTGACCCTTGGAAAGTCATTTAACCTTTATTTGCCTTAGTTTGCTCAATAGTGAAAAAAAAAAATGGGGATAATAACAGCTACTTCTCAGAATCAAATAAAATATGTGTGCCTGGCACAAGTAAGTGACTAACAAAGTCTCGTTTCCTTCCTTACTTCCTCCATCAAGTCTTCACCCAAAATACTGGAGACCTTCCCTTGTTGGGAATAGGTTGTAAACATCAGGGTAACATCCAGGTAGATATCCTTCAGTTTCACTCTATGCCTAGATCTTGGAGCACTGAAAAGAGCGCCAGATTTATAAACTGGGAGCCTGAGCCTTACCTTAGGGACCTTAAGAAAGTCACTTCTCCTTTGCAAAACAAAGGATTGAACAGCTGACCTACAATGCTGTTTCCATCTTTAATCTTATGATAGTATGCTGAGCAAGGTCCACGGCCTGCATCTCTGGTTCCTCTGCTAACCCACCGGGTGCCTCCTCATTTGCCTTTCCTCTCCACTTTTAAACTTGATTCCCAATCATCCTTGCCCCCTATACTGAGAGTTCACGCAAAACGACACGAGTCCTTTTTATCACCTTTTCCCATTTTTGCCAAACAACCATTTGTTGAGGTCAGCCTTTCATCAGTATGCAGGTCAAGTGTGCCTCCATTTCCCCATCTGTAAAATAAAGAAATAGGAGTGGATTATTTCAAAGGCCTTTTGCAAAGCTATATACTATGATCTTATAATACTAGGCTGTGGTAGGGAGGGGGGAGGGACCAGCTCCATAGAGGTTGAGATATTTGGGACAGGAGACCAGAGAACAGAATATTTCCACCTAATCACCACAGATTATAAACATTAATGGACAGAAGTTTGGAAATCTATGTCCACAGCTTTTCATTATTTCCAGTTCTTAGTTTGTTGTTCATTTCTGAGAAAAATTCCTTTTTAATAACTCATTCTCCGTTATCCTGGGTCTTCCTCAGCCTTCATTATTCTGTGACACACACAGGCTTTAGGATGATTGGGGATTTCTACTCTAAAGGGGCTTTTTGTGTCTTTTTTTCCCTTTTTAGAGAAAACAGATTTTTAAGACAAAATGAGGTTGTGGGGTAAAGGAGTCAGAAGATGTCTACTTTGTCTCTTTACCCGTTTGACTCAGGGCAAGTCACTTAACCTCCTTCTGGGTCACAGTTTTCTCACCCATAAAATGAAGGCATTGATCTGGATGATCTTTAAGGTCCCTTCTAGGTTTACTTGCACATATTTCAAATTGTTAGACATTTTTCCTTACATCAAGCCTAGCTCACCGTCTTTAAAACTTCTAACCATTGCTCGTGGTTCAGCCCTCTGGAGCCAGGTAGAACAGGTGTAATCCTTCTGATCCTTTAAATCTGATCCTTCAAATACTCATAGAGAAGTATCACATTTGCCCAAGTGTTCTCTTTTCTAAACCATATATAGCAAGTTTCCTTTACTGATCCTTATATGTGTAACATGAGCTGCAGTGGTCTCTCCCACAGATTATAGACACTGTTACTACATCTTTAAGAAGCAATTGAATGAAGAAAAATTGTTGATTTAACTTTCATTCTGGAAAGACTATTACATGTCATGGCTGGAGGAAGACTGTGAGAAGAGAGAGAGAGAGGAAGAACTTAGTCCTGAGAGAGCTGAATTTGACCCTTATGCTGCGAATAAATAAAAGAAGAGAATTCCTGAGAGACTTTGGCTGCTATCCTGAGAACCGAACAATGGGATTGTACTCCAGAAGTGAGAAGTCAAAAATAGCAGTGATCATTAGATAGGTATGACTGACTAGAGACAATCTTCCAGTGAAATGTTATAAGTAATTATTTATGCCTTTGTTTCACTATTGTTACGCTGTCAATAAAATGTATAAACAGTAACATTCATTTTTATTTAAACCTAGGAAATTAGAGGGTTTGATGCATAGAAAGGAATGACAACAATATTAGAAAACAGGTTGATCCAGTCTATTGTTATTGCTAGTTTTTTGTTTGTTGTTGTTGTTGTTGTTGGGCTCCATTTGCCACTTCCAGACTCTCCCTCTACCTCCATCATTCAGTAACCTTTTCTCCTCTGAGGTTCACATAATTCAGATTTACTAGTCAAACAAAATTGTGGTACCTGTTATCTCCTGACTTCCAGGATGCTTTCCCTCTTTCCTCAATGGGTCCAGTGCTTCAGTCACAGTCTTTCCCTCCTCTTCAACTCCTACCCTCATCCTACCATACAGATACACCCTCAAACACCCAGTTCGTTAGCTTACTCATTTCCTATGACCCACTCCTGCACTCCACCCCAGATGCACACAGAGATAGTCATACCCTTAATCTTGTCATTACCCACAAATATTCCACTTCTTTGCTCATGAACGCTGAAATTCCCTTATCCAATCACAATTGATTGTCATTAAACATCTCACTCTGACTTGAAATCCCAAGCCCTGTTTTTTATGCTCCATGCAACCTTCAATCCCTCCACCTCTCAGGTCTTTCTCAAGCCTCCTCATGTTGACCCTTTTGCGAATCACTTCTACTCTACACTATCCTCTTTTCTGGAGTCACTTATCCCCTTTTCTATCACCCATCTTGCCATGTCAAGCTTCAGCCTTGGTTTATTCTGATCATCTACTGCCTTTGCTCTTACTCGTGTGCTACCGAATGAAGCTGGAGAAAATCATGAAACCATACTTACTGTCCATTACAACTTTATGTTACATATTCTCAACTGGATCCTCACTCTAGCAAAGCAATCCTTTCTAATCTCCCTAATAAACTCACTGTCCCATTCACCACAGTGCCTTTTCCAAAATTTTTCATCTCTCCTCAAACCTTCCATGACTCCTTCCCCCACACTCAGTTAATAAACTTATCTCACATTTCATTGAAAAAAGTGAAGTCATTTCCCAAGAGCTCCTTTTTATGCCTCCCCTCTTACCTTAGTCATCCAGATGCTTTCTACTACTATGTGCTCCTTCAACCCTGTCTCAGATAAAGAGGTAGCCCTTCTCCTTACCAAGGCAAACCTTTATATACTCAAGTGATTTAGTGCCCTCCAGCCTTTTCCAGTAGTTTTCCCCCTCTATCATTCCTACTCCATCACTAAGCTTCAATCTCCCCCTAATGGCTGCTTCCCTACAGCCCATAAACACACCCATGTCTCCCCCATCCTCAAAAAAACAACTCTCATTTGATCCGTCCATTCCCACTAGGTATCATCCCATATCTTGCCTCCTTTTTGTGGTTCCACTCCTTGAGAAACTTATCTACAATCAAGGCCTCCACTTCCTTCCTTCTCACTCTCTTCTTATCTCTCTACAATCTAGCTTTCAGACTTATCATTCTACTGAAACTGCTCTCTCAAAGTTACCAATGATCTCTTAATTTGCAAATCTAATGGCCTTTTATTAATATTCATCCCCCTTGACTTCTCTGCAGTCTGACTGTCAATCATCCTTTTTTCCCTTGAAACTCTCTTCTCTCTAGGTTTTCATGACATTATTTTCTCTTGGTTCTCCTCCTACATGTTTGGCCACTCCTTCTCAGTCTCTATTACTGGATCTTCATCCAGGTCATACTAACTATGAGTGTCCCCCAAGGCTCTGTCCTGGACCCTCTTCTCTTCTCCCTCTAGACAATTTCATTTGGTGATATCATCAGCTCCCACACATTAAACCAAGGGTGGGGAATCTGCAGCCTCAAGGCCACTTGTGGCCCTCTACGTCCTTTAAGTCCTCAAGTGTGACCCTTTGACTGAATCCAAACGAGCCGCACTTACAGACTTAAAGGACCTAGAGGGCCATATGTGGCCTCGAGGCCGCAGGTTCCCCATCCTTAGACTAACCCATCCTCTCTATGCTAATAATTCTCAGATCTACTTATCTGACCCTAATTTCTTTCCAAATCTCCAGACTCTCATTTCCAACTACCTATTGTACATCTCAAAATAAATGCCCTCTACATAGACATCTTAGACACAACATGTCCAAAACTGAATTCATTATCTTTCTCACCTTCTTTTGAATGAGAATGGGAGATTGTTCTCATCAAGAAGGGAAAATGAAAGGGTGACATTAAAGCAGATTCCCTCAGGGACCAGGGTTAGGGTGAGACAGGGACCTCACAACAAATTTTGTCTGGGAAAAATAGTCAGTGGTCTAGCTGCTGCTGTAATCTTTGCCAGCACACCCCCCTGACTCTATTCTCATCCCACCATTTTACAGCAATAAGCAATAGAACTAAATGCTGCCTTTTCCTCACCCAACAAGGAAGAAGGAAATGTGTAAGAAAGAATAAGCGTGCTCAATCTGGGGCAACAGCAAACTGTAATCTGCAGCCACGTTTATTCAGAAAACCAAGGAATAGAGGGAACTAGCCTCAACATGTGTATTGGGCTCCATTGGGACTGCAGGAAAGGATATTGACTTCTAGGTGAAGCCAACTCTATACCCCAAGAAGCCACCTAGTGAAAAGTGAATTTCCCAGCATGGGAAGAGATGGAGGCAGTGTTGAGGTCCAGTCCTCTGGAGATCAGTCATCAATCAGGAAGGAGTCAGAAATAAGCAATAGTATAAGGAAAAAACATAAAAATTACCAAAGATCTCAGGAAGAAGAAAACTCAGTTAAAAAACAAACAAACACACAAACCTTGAGAACAGGCAGATAAAACAACAGAGAAGATACTAATAACAGAAGAAAAGATGGCCTCCAGATTATCTCCCCAAATAAATATTGCAAGACAAAGGAAAATGTGGATTTCCAAGAAAGCATGGAGCCACAGCAAGATGTCCCCAAATGGTTCCGGAGAAAAATAAGAATGGAAAAAGAAGAACTTTGATCTGTAGCAGATGTAATTGGCAGAAAAATCTTGAACCTATGGCAGTAAGTGCACCAAAGAAACAAAAAGAGAGAACATCTGATTGGGAATGCAATTACACAGAAGGGAAGGACAATCTGAAAGAATAAAAGCAAAAAGAAATAATGTTAAAAGGATATACAATCTCTATACAAGCAAAAGATAGTGATCTCGAAGATGGGTTATATAAAAGCACCTGAGGAATTGTAGGTCTCACAGAAAAAATTCAAAAACATGAACACCATAGTGCAAGGGGTAATACAAGAAAACTGCTCAGAACTTAGCATAGAAAACAAGGTGCCAATAGAAAGAATCCACAGATTTACTCCAGAAAAAAACTCTGTGCTGCAAATCCCAATCGTTAAATTTAATGATTCCAATAACCAACTGTAACAAAGTCTATAGACAAGAAGAAGAAAACTCTTCAAATACAAATGAAAGGAAAATTAAATGGCAAAAAAAACCTATTTTGAACCCACCAGAGACTGCAGAAAAAAAAGAGTGAGTTGCAAAGAGCAAAAGAACCTAAGATACAAACAATATGATATACCCTGAATACTTGAGTCTACCTATCAATTTTAAAATATGGGCTTCAATAAAGGAGAAACATTCAAAAAAAATTTTTAAGACATAAACAGATTACTTGCTTTGCAAACATCTCAGAGAACAGAAAGAAAGGTATACAAATACAGCAAACAAGGAAGGCATAAGTAACAAAATAAAGTTCCTGGGAGGGGGGAAGAAAAGAAAAATGGGGGAAAAAAACATAGAATAAGAAAGAACCCTATGGAGTT